CAAGACAAGGTGGTTTTCTGTGCTACTTGTAGAGTTATTGGTTGTTCACAATAGCCTCCCAATAGATGGCATTGTGGTCCATAAAGACTCGGGTCTGAAGATCGTACAGGCCTCCCCATGCTCTCCTCCACTGTACGGCAAGAGAAGGAATCAAGGCTCCACTTCCTGAGTCTGCTAGCTGCGTGCTGGCCTGAGTAATGTGGAAGGTATGTGCTGAGCATACAAACTTTGAACTAGGGTCCAGAATCCTACTTCACGCAGGAAACTGCTGCTACTGCTACTACTACAAGTTATACTATCTCAACTACCACAACTGCTACTACTACCTCTAATAGTACAATCACCACCACCTACTAACATTATTACTACTATCATTACCACTACTGTTATTACTACCACTACTACTACTACTGCTACTACCGCTACCATCACCAGTACCATTACTACTACTGCTACCTCTACTAGTACAATCACCACCACCTAACACTATTACTACTACCATTACCACTACTGTTATTATTACCACCACCACTACTACTACTATTATTACTACCACTACTAGTAGTACGTATTACTACCACTACAGCTACTACTATTACTACTACTCCTACCATCACCACCGCTACTACTACCACCACCATAATCATCATCACCACCACCAGTACCATTACTACTACTACTACTTCTATACCCAGATGTTCATTGGTATCATGTTATACAGAACAATTTCTTCCAAACAAGCTTTCATAGTAATTTTATACAAAACACAGTCATACACTACTGGCAATTTTGAGACACCAATTAGCCTAACTGCATGGTTTTGGACTGCGAGCAGAAACTCATGCGAGGCAGAGAAAACAGCAAGCAGAGGTGTGAAGCAACAGTACTACCTACTGCGCCACAGCTCCACCCCTCCTGAATGTTACTCCACGACCAAAAAGGTTGGCAGCACATGAAAGCTGAGGGTCTGCACTACATGGGCCACATCCTCTCAGAAAGTCACGGAACACCAGTCATAAAGGCCTTCCGTCTGATCTCGGGAACCTTACCGAGTGTTGCAGACATACTTATCTGCACACTGTGGTTTCAAAATCTGCGATGGGAGAGCAAACAGTTCAAGGATAATGAGTCACTGACATTCCGACCCTTTGCTGGTCATACAGAATGTTCGTAGTCAGCACGGACCCTCTATAAACAATAAGTTCTTCCTACACCAACATCTTTCATCATGTTTCTAGAAGTCGCAGCGGAGTCATTTTTTCTAGAGGAAAAGGAAAACAATTAATTTCCATGCAAAACAAAACATTTAAGAAGCATACTCCATGTTTTGACATAATATCCATAGAAACAATGAACACAATAGTCTCTGCCACATGCTGTAGACATTCACTGCAAGTTTGTGTTTTATTCACTTGATTCTGAGTATATTTTTTATTTCTGGTGTTTCTGTTAGAGAGGGTCAGACAAACAAATAAAACAAACAAACAAAAAAAAAAAGCAAGTGAGTGCTCAGTCTATTGTTTATAAACAAATGAAGGAGCTTGCATGTGGAACAATAATGGACCAGAATTATGGCAACAGATACAAGAGTCAAAGTCCAGCCTGTCTTGCACATCTAGGGGACTTGGATCGATCATATTAACCTTCTTTAAATCTGCCACAGAATAAAAACTGCACATATTTTGTCATTTCTAAATCATATTAAAGTGTTCAGGTGTGCTCCCCTCAGGAGGAAAGGCTCAGAACGTCTGACCACCTGAAGGTTCCGCCCCTACGTTCTGGCCACGCCTTCGTGGCAGGCTTTAAGCAGCTCAAATCACCATGTTTCTTCGGGAGTCACACCCGTCCACGTCATGCAGCGTGAGAAGTTCTCACATGCTGAGCTGGTGAAACAGGAAGACTTTGACCTCACCACCTTATCATACTGCTGCCACAAGTCACCTGTGCAAACAAAACCAGCTCTGATACTTTGAACTGGGTTTGGCAAGAGAAGCAATAGGAAAATACCTTATTGCACACTTCCCAGTGATTTTGTTTATGATTGTAAATAAAAATAAATCTCATAATAGCTGCTCAGTTGAACGGATCATTAAAGGGGCAAAGTCAGAGGAAGGAGGAGGCAATGTGGGTGATGTGGAGGAGATGTGGGAGACTCACAAAGACTATGGTGGGAGTAAAAACAGGAAGAGCCACAGAGAAGGATGAAAAACAGTACATGACGCATTATCTGTACAGACACATGCCCATTTCCTGTGAATACCATACTGATCAATATCACTAGTCTGTAGGTAATGGGTAGTGAGAAGCAACTAATCAAGCACACATCTGCACACACTGTATCCATTGCTAACACTCGTAGCAACACTGCAAATGCCCCTTGGGGCTGACTGACGCAAATACATGCTCACTGCATCGATGACCAAGAAGTAGAGTCTAATCACTCTACAACGTAATCCCCTTTCAGAATCCTTTTCATCAGACAAACAAACAAACACCCTGGAGTCCAAGGGCTGACACGCTAAACGGCCCAATCAAACAAAAGAAAGACAAAAGAAAAAAAACACAAAATCGCAGGGAATGCCACTGCAGATTAAACCACAGCTCAGCCCTTGAAGCTTTCTGTCATCTAACATGATCCAGTGCATTTGGGTTTCTCAGAGTGAGCATGTGCAGTGCCCGATATCCACAAAATAAGTTATGCAACATCTGCTACAAGGAACAAAGGCAACACAGCTGAGAGCATGTAGGCGGGTTAAGTCAGGAGGACTGATGTTGCCCTCGTAACTGGCGACTCACTACCTGCGTGAAGTTTTGCACCACTGAGTGGACACCAGGCGTCATTACCTTTATATTCATTTATTTAGAGGGAAAACGTTTGAAAAAGCAGGACAGGGTCAGACAGCCCTTGGAGCAGTTCGGGGATGAGGGTCTTAGCCAAGGGCCCAGTGAAATCACAGGATTTGAACTTGGGACCTAATCCACAGAGCTACACACTACCCCGATCCACAAGTTATCATTCTACCGACTTTGCTCAGAAAACATTTTATTAAACTGCAACCATGTTTGATTTTTTTTAAATCCAGCATGCTGTTCGGTAGGCAGCATTATCCAATATGTCAGTGGCAGACAGCAATCCAACTGCAACAGCTAATTACACTTACCTGTAATTCAGAATAAGAGCAAGAAAGGGTGCAGGGTGTAACTGTGAATGGGCAGGTGACACTCTGATACAATCAAAGCCAACCAGTTCATAAATGGTGGCTGTGAGAAACACTGCCACCACAAAACACTTTCTACGTCCTTATTTTTGCTTCAAGGACAAACTGCAGCAAAGTGTGTGGGATGTAGCTGTCCGGCAGCATAACGCTGGGATGTAGGATGCAATCATGTGACTATGTGAGGTCTAGATAACAGCATACGCAGCTGTGGCACAATAAGCAGGCCCACATCATGACAGCACAACAGCATCTGAACTTTGTAATGTTCAGGCATTTGTTAAACCACACCTATAAAAGGCGTGACGGAGTGTTTGCGTCTTGTGTACACACATAAAAAGGCACGGAAAATAACATCAACAGGCGGGCATTCCAACATCTACCCCCACATCCGAGACCCAGTCACGGTAAAAATGAAAGTGTTAGTGGCACTGTGGAAAATGCCACGGTAAGGTACCATCTCAGGGGGACGCAGCCGGTAGCAAGTGCCAGCAGGCCGAGAGTGAAGAAATGTGCAGCCAGAGGCCAAGTGAAGGGGAAGGAGAGGAGAGGAGAGGAGGGTTAGTGACCAACTATTATAAATAAAGTAACTACACCTCTGTTGCATAGCTCTTAGGAAATCTGGCTTGGCTTGTCTGGCCCTCAAGCTGAAGTTTTTCTAATCTCATATCGACATTTTTAGATTTTTAAATTATTTCTTTTTGGCAGTTACATTTTTATTTTATGTTTCAAACCAATTTACATATAGAAAGTTATGAACAGAAAAATTATGCGCATTATTTACACACTTGTGCATGCCTGAAACAGATTTTGATACATTCATATTTCATACCAAATATTTAAAAATAAAAATTTTCAGTTGACAAATTTGTTGACAAACATCTTCCAGCAGAGAATTAATAAGACCCAAGTACCAATTGGGTAAAAGCACTCATAAGGCCTGACTTTCTAAAGAGTTACCGTAATCCAGACAACCGTTTTATATAAAAGCAACATAAAAATGACATATTGGAGTCCAAGAGTAAATTGCGAATACTATTCCATTAGTCTTTTCCTTATTAGTGTCAAATAAAGTACAAAACATACCAAAATACAGGTCACAGACAACAGGAATCTAACGTTTTCTAGGCATTTAGTAAGCCTCCACGTTTATGCATGTAGGCAATGTCTGTAAGTAATATTTTACACTACTCCGGGAAAAGCCAGTGGAATATGCTCCACAAATCTGCATCAAGGGGAAACTTTGCCAAGTTCCTGCGGACATTTATTTTGTGGCCAGCAGTTTATAGGAAATATGACAGACGGCATGCAGTGGAGAATAATCTAATTAACCGTTCACAGTAGCGTACGTCTCCTTAGATTTATCACAGATATGAATAGGTCTACTATATAGTAATTAATTAGCAACCAATATTTTAAAAAATACCCAGGATATTCACCGCACAGAGTAACAACCACAGGGACACAACTGGGTATTTTGACAAACAACATAAATGAGACAATTACTATGTACTTCATCTAAATAATTATGTCGCATACGTTGCGTGTAAGAATTATAATATTTACTGTATACTGAAAATGGCATTATTCCTACTGAATGCTTCGTATGTCGTTGGCAGTTTTTTTTATCGCCATGAATATAGTATAGAACACACTGTATTGTAAAATAGTAAAAACGGCGACCTATAGCCTACGTCCATTTTATATCAACGCCAGTATTTGGTCGGGAAAACGGTTAAATGTGACAATTCTGACATGCTTTTAAAAATAAAAACATCTACTTACCAACCAAAACGCACATGACATCCATTAAAACAAAAAGCTTCTTTTTTCTCAAAGTCATGGTTGTTTCCATTTCGTCCCAAGGACCCACGGTTTAATTTTAAAATGATATAGACTCTATTTAAAAGCTATCGATTCGCTTAAGGATTTTTGCAACTCATGCAATAATAATCACAAGCGGTGGAAAAAAAAATACAGGATAATTCAGTAATGCATTTTGAAAACACTGTTTCTTGTACTGCAAGTTCTTCCGGCTTAACTTCCCTACCTGCCCTGGATTGTTTACAGTGTAGGTGTAGTAATTAAGGATAGTAAAACACTTCTGCAAACGCAGGATACCGGCTTAGTCAAAAAGAGGCTAAATCGGAGTCTCGGCTTCTGTCTCCTGTTGCGCACATTGCTATACGTAGGAGGTTGTAACTCCCGAAGAAAAGTACACGGCACCCAATTCTTTCCATAAACGAGGCCAGCTAACGATCCCTTCTCACTCTTCCTAGTTCTGTCTCCACTCCCAGAATCTGACGTCAGGTTGCTCGATGCCAAGGAAAGGAAAAAAAAAGTAAAAAAGAACAAAGACGGACAAATTCCAGACTTCTGTTTAACCATTAAATTAATCCAGGCGAACAGACACGGTCTCTGCTTCAGTTTTTTTTAAATACATTCTTAAAACGTATAGTATGAGGTAAAAGGTGTACGTCTTACGTTTAAATATCAACTGTTTTGGAGATACGGAAATACTCCTTGAATGGGACTGGTGGTGGTATTTTGATATATTGATCTTTGAATATTCCGACTGAAGACATAAAGAGTGACATAAGACCATTTACCTCGGGCTCTTTGAATGCAAAACATAATTATCTCATTGATTCCATAACAAAGCATGTAACAACGCAATAAAGTCTAAGAAGTGCGAGTTTTGCTATTTCATATTACGGAACTGATCCTTTGGATTTGTACCGCTAAATACGTAATAATCGATTTGAGACTGAATACATTGCAATCGACATCTTTACTATACTTTCCCCACGCATTGTACATATATGGTGGCTTTAATGTATGTGATCTTGCTTTGCTCCCAAAATCAAGACTGGTATGCAGACAAGGGAAGGGAAGAGAGCAGTAGATTGAGTGGAATCCAAGCATGGAGTTGAGAGTGCAAGAAATGAAACAGGATGACATTATTCAGTAATACTGTTCAACTGCAGGACTGAGTGCTTTTAAGTGTTTGTGAGATGAATTGCGGAACTATAATCAAACTGGTCCACTTCCCGCCGCTAAAATCCGCACATCAGACAATACTTGAACCAATTTTTTTTATACAGGTAAGAAATGTTACCATGCAGAGTCTACAAAACTTGTTTATAATGCACGAATATAACATGCTAGTAGGATCTAGCGTTAGCACTTGAACAGCCCATAACGCAGCGTGAATTAGACTTGTGACGCCCCTGAATGATTCTGTATTTTAAACTACTGTTTTGAACAAAATGTGAACAAAATGATCTTAGTCACCGCACTGATTTGTTTAGGAGTGAAATAGAATAATAGATGATACTATTCAGGACTGACATACCATCTCTGGGGCGCCATCCCCTGGTGTATCGTTGTAAAGACGTTCGAAAGTGTCAATATATATTCAATTAACATTTAAACATTTGTATAAGAAATATATATACACTAGGGATGTGCGTAACGGCACTTAAATATTGATTCTTTCTGTCTGAATGTTTTCATTTTGAAAATCGAAACGATCGTACCCCTCCCTCTGAAAATTTTAATGCCACCACTCCCCCCCACCCTCGTCCAGGTTGGGCCGGCAGTGAATATCGGTACTAACCATGGTATTACTTGGTATCGGATTGAAAATTCAGTGGTATCGTCCATCCCCAATATAGGCTAAACATTTACATATTTTATGTAATCACATTTAATCACAAGGTGGACAACCCCGAAGTAAAATGTCATAGGGAGACCCCCCATGAACAAAGTTAAAAGAATACTGAAAAGAACTGTGATTTCTGTCTATAATTTCCTGATGTAAATCCCTTGATGTGCTTTGAAACCAAATATAAAAAAACTGGTCCTTCATTTGCATCTCAGTATTAGAGCCAACTCTGTTGACATGCTGCAGAAGGGCCTGATTAACTGTATCAGGTGTGTTAAATTAGGGCTGTGCATGAGCTATGCAGTGTGGTAGATCTCCGGGAGCAGGAATGAGCAGGCCTGATCTAAAGCACGTCCAGAACAACTCCGACACCCTGCATTTATTACATCTAAAGTGTGGAAATAGCACACCCTGCTGGCAGGATTTAGACAGGACTACAGCATTTGGCGGACAAGCAGCTTCTTCCATTCATCCTGGACTGGTGTGTGGAACCAGCAGGCTCATTTTCTTTTTCTGCAAAGAATTTTTTTTGCTAAATAATTCTCTCAAGCAGGGGCACAGGAGCCAAAGGGGCGTGTACAATATTTACATAGAGTTCTGTAAATTATTAAGTAGTGTCCCCCATATTAAACTCTCAGTGCATAATGTTGCACCCAAGGATCCTGTGAAATAGTTATTCCCATAATGCTTTGCAGCTGTAATGTTACAGCCGATTTCCATTCCATTCCAGTCATAACACAACAGCAACACAAAGAGGGACAAAACAAAATCTATGCAATATTTGTATTGCAGAAAAAGAATCACGTCTTGAAACATTTTACTGTTCAGCTGCCGTCTGAAATTTTCTTCAGCGATTTGGAATCTGCTGACAGATGTGAACGCGTGGTGACACGTGGTAGACATTCACCACCAGCTTGGTCGTTCCAGTTAGTATTCCTAACAATTTCTTTGTATACAAACCTGATACTTACAGTAGCATTGTTTTGCAGTTATGATTCTTGATGTTTTTATTAAATGTTTTGCATAATGTATATTTCTAGCAAAAAAATATATAATGGACATTTCAAAACCAAAACATGACACCAGCTCTTGCAATTAAATTTTGTATTATGCTGAAGTAAAAAAATGCTGTACAACAATTTCTATAGTACAGTACCATGGCAAAATATATATGCTTAGATTTTTTTCCTAAAGGCACATTTTGTTCTTCAAAGCAAAACATAAAACTTTAACACTGTCCATCTTCTGCATTTTAGAGGTTAGGCAATACTAATAGTTTTTTTTTCCTGTTTAAAATGATAAAATCCATTTGTCTGTCTCCTAGCTGTAACAAAGACTGTAGTCTTCAGTGTGATATATTCAGCATTAAAGCTTCACTGGAGACAATATGTCAGAATAGCCACTGGTTCTGTAGTCCTTAGATCAGGGGAACCCAATCTTATCCGCAAAGGGCCGGTGTGTATGCAGGTTTTTGGGATAACCTGTAGATCAGCTGTTCAAACCCATGTGTGAAGACTCTTTCAGCCAATCAGTCCTCTAATTAGTAATCTAATTAGGGAGTTGCAGCAAAAACCCGCATACACACCGGCCCTTTTCGGATAAAATTGGGTACCCCTGCCTTAGATAAAAATCTAACAGTTAATTTATCATGGGTCAGTATACCAAATGAAAACAATCCATTTTTAATACACAATGTATTTTGCTTGCACACCTACATCCATCTGCAATCATGCAGCGCTGAACATTCTTCATGCAGCTCAAAGAATAACTGCCCATAAAATTTGATTGCCTGCTTGTACATATGAGCTCGTCAATGGCCTCACATTCCATTCAGGCCATACCAGTGCAACCCTGACTTAGACAGGTGGACAGATACACAGAATTTCTGTAAAACTGTATGATAACCCTTCTGTTAGGAGGCATTGAGACTCCGGTACAAAGCTGTCCTACCCAGCTGATCATGAACTTGCACTATAGCTTCTTTACCGCTCTCCACTTACATCGTAAGGGATTTTTGGATCTTGATGACGGGAGTGAATCTGATTAAGCTCTCTGATGTTCTGCAGGCCATTGCTGTTCCCTACTGTCCTATGATTTTTAATGTCCAGGTCCATAAATGTGCTACATTTCAGCATTAGACATTCTCAGCTGGACAGCTCCTTACACCTCACCCTCATCGCATGGTAATCATTTGCTTCTTCTGGAATATCCCGAAAACTAGATTCCATTATGAATATACTGCATATTCACAATACTCATTGGATATCAGTTTTCTCATAGCATTATCTACTTTCAAGACAACGCTCACTGGAAATTTTTAAAAGAAATGTAGAATTAAAATTTCCCTTCGCAAATAGTATGAATGTTCTAGAACAGGGGTGGGCAATCTTATCCGCAAAAGGGCCGGTTTTTGGGATAACCTGTAGGTCAGCTGTTCAAACCCAGGTGTGAGGACTCTTCAGCCAATCAGTCCTCTAATTACTAATCTAATTAGGGAGTTGCAGCGAAAACCCACACAGACAGCAGCCCTTTGCGGATAAGACTGGCCACCCCTATTCTAGAACATTTATATATTACTTAGTTAGCAGACTCTTTTGTCCAGAAGGTCGTGGGTTTGAGCAAGGCCCTTAAGATTAACCGCTCTTTCACTTATTTACACGGTGGTGCGCACTGCAACTCTACTTGACGGACCTGCAGCTAGTGCCCATTTGTGCTACAACATAATTTCATGTGAAGACACACAGCAGTTTTCGGGGAGCAGTGTCAAACTGGGACAACTTGGCTGAGGAAAAAAGTCTTATTATTAGACAAGAAAATAGGTAATTGCAATCTGACAAAATCAAATAGAAAAAATGTGTTTTGAATCAAATGCATTAAATTTTAGTTATCCAGTGCAGCCTACTGTTATTTGTATGTTTAAAATTAACTTTATTAAGGCTAAATCATTTTAAAATTCTTTGTAAAAACAGATCCTTGCCCTTAAACAATGAAATGAATTACAACATTTCATCTTAATTATCTTTAATAGTAATTACAAGAGTTTGTTTGAAGGGAAATGACTAAATTCACAGGATTTAAAAAAAAATATTTCCACAAACACAGCTTCAATATTTTAGGAAAGTTTGTAAAATTTCCCACTTTCCATTAGAAGTTGCATACAACAATTTTAGAACCAGACCAAGTGGGGCAGCTTTATGAAAATACGCAGCAGCAAATCCTTGAAAAAGTTAAACAAATGCATACTGATAATTAGTATTTACCTGTAAAATAACTGATTATCTTACAATAGTCCATTTTGATTGCTGTCAGTGTTTTAAAGATGTATACAGCCATTCTGAAACCAGATTACAGCCATCAACTAGAGCAAAGATTACCATGCTGTGTTCAAACGGCCAAATTCCCCTAAAACCAGCTGTCATGGAAATCCTCATACATTTAAGAGTAAATATGGCCTTTTCCTGACCTGCACTATTGAATTAGACTGAAAAGAAGTTTGCATCATCTCACTGCAGCATCATTCCTCCAGTTCATCCACAAACCTTTTGTTTGCAACCAACTGATGCAGCTCTTCCAAGCTGAGGGATGATTCTAAGGGAAGTCTGATATTCAAATCGGGACGCCATGAACCTTAAACATTTAAATGTGACTGGGTGAAACCACCTTCAAACAAAACTGCTAAACACTGATTAAGAAGATGGTACAAGGTTATTTGTAGCTGGAAGCCAGAAAATGTCAGGTAGCAATTTTTCTCTGTTAAATATTCATGAATGCCAAATTTGGCTATGTTCTTTTTTCTCTTTTCTTCAAATGCAGAACAGTTGAGCAACAGGGATATGCAAAGCATAAGTGTGCCAAGTTTGCACATGCTCTGCTCCTGTGGAATGCATGATAAGCTGGGAGCTAAATTAACCTCATTAATGTAGATTTCATTAATCACAGACAATAGATCCATTTGTAACAGGGATGCAATCATTTACATTTTGTAAACACTGAAATTTATTCAGCCAACGGTTTCACTATGTTTTTGGCTCAGTGTGCTCAAATATTAACTCAAGATCAAGCAGCTTAAAAAAATACAGTACTGTAGAGCCACCACCTCCCCTAACTTTCCTTCTTGATGATGATGAATCTGTTGATGTGGACTGAGGTAAGCTGAACTCATAATTAGGTCAGTCATTGACTGGGTGACTGTCTCAACATGTCAATACAACATCTGATGGTTACCGAGCCCGACTCTTAACTGTGATTCACAAAATTAAATGGTGCCCACAAGACCTGACCACCATATCCAATAAAAGAAAATAACGCAGGAATAACTTCTCAGCTGTACCAAGAAACACCACCATGGGGACACATTTCGGAAAGCCAACTTTCCTAATAACTCACACAAGACACAGATATTGAAGAGTTTCATGGAAAGACAGGGCCACCTGCTGGCTGCTCTTGGTATATCTATATTAAGTTTTGTGATGATTTGCATTGCCACAAGTTTACTTAATTTAAAGCACAAATAGTAGTCTGAAACAAAAGAACACAAGTTTATTTTTTTGAGAAGAAAAACTACAATGGATGTTTTACTGTGAATGTGTGTGTGTGAGTGTGTGTGTGTGTGTGTATTTCCAGTGTTATGAGGCTCAATGTGCCGTTTCATATTTTTCTTTCATTTTTTTTTTTTTTTACAAAATATAAATGACAAACCAACGAGAATGGATGCAATATAATACAAATTGCTAAAAAAGAATATAGGCAGTGTTTCTCCTCTATAACCCTTGTCCCAAAACAAAAACTTGTCAGAAACTGTAAACGAAAAAGCTGAGGACAGGAAAAATACAGCCATACCCACAATAATACAAAGAAAGGGGAGAAAAGGTCCCTCTCTTTCAGGGTGGGGGGCGGTAGGTCAGGTCCCACCACAGCCAAGGCGTCATGCAGACGAGCTGAGCAGCTTATTGGCTTTGCAGTTAATGCCGTAAGGTGACATCATCACCGCTCGACACACAGCAGAGCTGCACCTCAGCTAGTCATCAAAAACCAAAATTTAAAAAACAAACAAAGAGAGAGAAAAAACAGGAGCCATGTTACCTGAGTCAGCGAGTAAAACATTGGCATTTGTCTCGTCTTCAGAAGCTGCCAGAGCATTCTGGGAAAGGATCTGGTTAAAGGATCTGGGAACTGAACTTTGAAGGAGAACAACACCGAAAGTCCAGGGTAGTAGAAAAAGTATACTTCTAAAATGCAATTTACACACAGTAAGTAAGTTTCATTGTGTTTATACCCAACACTTCATATTCAAAAGGAAAATATATATATATATTAGCCATAATCTGTCCTAGCTTTCATCTGATAAAGTCCCCTTACAAAATAAATTACCAGAATGAAGTAAATGGAGTGAGCTAAACGTCCATGATCCACAGCTTCAGTACCAGATACATGTAGTTGTTCAGAACGCCCCTCCTGACAGACATCATTATCTAGGGTGTCAGTAACTCGACCCGGCATACTGTAGGTGCACATGGTTATCAGTTCATTTCATAATGTTTAGATTCACCATACTTTAGGATCAGGAACACCCCATTAAGGATAAGAACCCAGGAGATCCCAGGTCCATAAGCTGCACAGGAAGTAATCCTCAACTCGGAAGCAGTGTGTCTTCACGCTGTTGCTGGGGTCTCGGTAGTGGTTGAGGACCTCCAAGTCCCACTTTCGAAGCTGTATGGTTCAATTCCCAAATTCGAGCTTCTTTGAGTTGAAGGGCAAATGCTCTCCTGGGACAAAACTCCGCAACTGCTATGTGGAAGCGGGGGGGGGGGGGGGGGCTCAAAGCCGAAATAACGGTCACATCACGTTACGCGTTTGCGCTTCTTCGTTGAGTGGCGTTAATCCATATTCATTTTGTGACGGAAGGTGGATGTCACATGATGTGGGCCGCGAAGTATGAAGTTGGAAGGAAATAAATAAGTGAAAGGGAACAGGCGTCGACTGCGCTCACTGTTTGAGGGAGCGCGGGTGTCGCACGGGGGGGGTGTGCATGGCACGGGGGCACAAGAAGCTGCTGATGACCCCGAACTCAGAGGTCACGGAGACCGTGGAGGCAACGGCAGGCGAGGGCGGGGGTGGCGAGGGCAGCGAAAAGCCCACCTGCAGCCTCTTGGTGGCGCCAGACTCTGTCGACATACCGTCTGTGACAAACGGCCCCAGCTGCAGTTGATAAAACCCAGGACCCAGGAGCTGAGGTCCCGATGGCTGAGGGAGAGCGCTGTCATAGGGTCCCTGTGGGGCGTGGCACTGGGCCAGCGGGCCAGAGGGTGGGGCCAGGCGGCCGGTGGGGCCAGGACAGTGTTTGACAGGCTGCGGCGGGTCCTCCTTGGTGGACAAGAGGGAGAGCTGATTGAGGAGTGGCTCTCTGGGAGGACTCGGGCATGGATTCCCACACAGGTCCGAAATCCCTCCACCCAGCTCCGCATCTGCCCAGGAGTCAGAGGGATACAGTCTGAACAGAGAGACAGAGGTACATCCCACGCATTTCACCCAAGCAACATTGGCACCCACAACCAGAGCAAGCTCCTACCATCTAACTGCGTGAGGCCTACAAGCTCAGTGCCGATTCAAACACCGCATCCCAGTCACAATCAGAGGTCAGTCTGGATAACAGTGGGGTTAGTGTGCTGCCGGCGAATGCCCTGACAGGGCCCGGTCTGGGCGGTGTGGGTTAGTGAAGCCTGCTCCCCCAGCACTCGCTAACACTGCCTTTACCTGTGAGCATATGCCTGCTGTGATTGGTCTGTGTGCTGTGAGCTCAGGGTTTTAAGAGAAAGCGGGGAGTGCGCTTCCTCCGAGGACGGCCCTGCATGTGAGCCGCGAACGCCAGACTCTCCTCTTCGGGGGAAAACCGGCAACGAGCATCCGCAGACGACACCAAAATATGAACACACACATACACACACAGAATGGGTAAACACAGAAATGAAGAACGCAACGTAACGTAGTTCTTCAGACGGGGTAAGCACAAACCTTGAAGAAAACCAAAATGTAGCAAGAATGACAAAATGAAACAAAAAACTGATTACAAATACCACGTATATAGGGTTCCCCCTAGTGTTTAATACACGTGGTGCTCCAATGAACTTTATTAATTTACATGTCCTCTTAATGAGCAGTCCTTAGTTGACAGGAAAGATAATGTAAGAAGGCAACATCAAATTAACAAAGTGCAATTATCACTACAAAAAAAAAAAAAGTGTTTATCATGCAGTGCAAATTGTGTTGCCGCTATCAGGCACCAAATCTACGAGGCAGATCCCAGTAGTGACGGGACTCTTTGGGGAGCCAGTCTGTTCACAGCAGATGTGGGCGACAAGGAACGACGGGACATTTTCAAAACATGAACACTACAAAATGAGGTATGAACATAAAAAATAGATCTAAAACACTAATAACTCAACCCTTAGGATAACAGACTCGTAAGTACTAAAACAGTAAAGAAAACCTAGTAAAATAAAAATGAAAACAGCACAGCTGTAATCTCTTTGTAAACTAAACTATAAAAATCACTATAAAAATCATGTCACTAATGATTATAATACACACACACATATATATATATATATACGTATATACACATGTAAATGTGGTTTTATATATATATATACATAAATAAAAATAATAATATTACCACGATTGATGATGAAACCATTACAAAAGGTAAATCACAGGGCCCACAGCTAAACCAAGGTGAGTGGACGGAAGGCTCGGCTGAACAGAAGTCAAGACAGTAGACGCCAGGAGTTGCTACGGGAATGTGCGGCCAATACATGAGGTCTGCCCCCTTAACGAGTCCCCTTAGGCCACTCAGCCGCTACCCAGGGCTCTTTCTCAGTGAGGGACTTAGCCAATGGGGACTGTGTCACAGGGAGTTAACATCAGCGGCATGCGTGTCACATGGGAGCGTCACGCTAACCTGACCTGGCACCGTTTGGGTACGCTGGCCTCGCAGAGAGCCATAAACCGACGGGGGAGACAAACGGGAACTGCCTGCTAACGTTTCACCTTCAAATTAACCCCGATGAACTACACATGCCTCACGTGCCACAGTATCCCCGCTCCCATGACGTGGTCGGAAAACATCCTAATCTCTGCAGATTCTAACCGAACACGTCTCGTTCCCCCCAAAGTGAGGGGTGTCCAGAGCAGATGGCGCAGACCTTACACGGGAGGTGAAGGCATGTACCACTGCATGGGGATAAACCGCAGGCAGCGACCACAGCCTGGCTGCCGTGCCAATGCAGTTTGTCACGTGCGATGCGTTCGGACGACAATGGATAAAATGGCTGCTGTGCATTGTTTATTTTACCAAGCATGCCGATGCATGTGCCATGTCCCAAGGATGACGTTCTGCTGGCTGGCAGCACATGCCACTATGTATCAATTAAACAAACAAATTACTAATCATTAGCTATACACTCAAACTCGGAAGTCAAAAGCCAAAGTATCTTTGCTACCATTTAAACTGATGGTACTTTACACGATCAGTTATGGCACATTTATAATGGCGGGTAGCAACCCCAGGGACCATATAAAGCTCTATAAAACGCTGGAAGAGGATACAAACTCAGCATCCTGGTTTATCACCTTCTCAGTTAATGTAGCGAATGGGAAACAGCTCATCCACGGTAGAAAGACGATCAATGTTAGCCTCCACCTAAATCATGACAGCGTCAGGGCCTCCATCATTTCAACAGCACTTCCCACTTCTCTCTGTTTGCTACCGGCCTCAGGTGTGTGAGCACGAGAGCCACTGGAATGATTGATATTATGTGTCTCACATCACAAAAGCTCCCCCCCCCACCAATCTGAAAGGGCAGTACTGAGGAAAGTACTTTCAAGGTTCCCAAGGGACAGGGTGAGACCTACCTTGCTTTTCCAGATCTAGGACGGCTGCAGGAGAAGGGGGGCCAGGCTGAGAGGTGGCCAAGGCTCCAGGCGGCGAACTGAGAGGGTGGCTGCTACCCTCCACCTCTGCGCCATCACCATCCTGCTCCCCATCCTCCCTAAGACGCAGACAGCACCGCCACAAACACAACAACAGCCAGGAGATCAGGAGACCTCAAACTGCTGCCTGATCTCTCTGTGCAGCTAGATTACTGGGATTCCCTTATACCACCTATACAACCGATGTCATCTTCAACCTGTTTTACACCAGGCAATCGTTCTTTCTGCATTTTAGAAATTGTGGGGTTAAAGCTGCTAGTTAAAACACACACACACACACACTTAACGCCAACAGGTTGGGATAAAAGCACACGTAGAGTCACATGCCCTATAGCCCCCACGGTACATAATGAGGGACTGCCCGCTGTTACAGCAGGCACAGGTGATATTAGCACCAGTCATTAGCGGTGATTTGCCCCCCCCCAGCTTCCTTACTCACATGATGCCTGACTGCAGGCTGTATTTCTTACGCCCCAGTTTTGTGGTCTGCTGTGTGAAGTACTCATGGCGCTCCGACTTCTTCCACATGTAGTAATACTCCACACATTCCCCGACAGAGCGTGTGCGCACCTGCCAGACAGGGGGAACCCCAGTTTCGTCACATCCTTCGCCAATGTTTAACGCGCGTCACAGGGTAACGAGTACAATCTCTGAAAACCGTTCCATCAATTCATTTAGCAAAATGGCAGGACAGTCTTTTGTACAAGAAATAAAGGAACAAGACACCAGCATGCATGGATTAATATGAGAAAACAGGAATTTTCAGATGATGAATGCATATGTACCAGTGGATCAGTGGATAGAAAGAAAATAAACAGGTAAGACTCAAGGCAGGGAAAGCAGGATGGAGAGAAGGTACAAAGACTTCTTTAAAATTCATAGCGGAGGGACCAATATTTTCAGTGCAGACAAAATCTTGTTACAAAAATGATTGATGATTATCATTAAGAATATTATTAACAATTCCCTTTGCTGGAAACTGGCATGGTCGGTTAGTTTAGCAGTGTTTTCCTGAAAGGTTATTTACCCAACAGTTAAGGGGCACAGGCCTGGAGGAATTACAATCTGCAGATCTGACAAATAGGCCAGAGGGCTCAAATGCATGCTGCCCTGCCATGCACAGTTCTAGACCAGTGTTTCCCAATCCGGTCCTCAGGCACCCACAGACAGTCCAACTTTTTGCTCCTTTCCAGGTCTCCGCAGGGAGCTGACAGAGAAGAAAAATGTGGACTGTCTGGTAGGGAGCAAAAACAGGACTGCATTGAGAAACACTGCTCTAGTCGAGGACTGTGGATCCGCAATTCATTATGCGTTAAAACCGGTTCTATGACAAATGCAATCAGCACAAAGGTGACCAAGCTTGCAGATGTTGTACAGACAGGAAGTCTTACAAGCAAATGGAGGTATATGGATGTCTGAAATGAAAGCAGTAAAACTTCATGGAAAAACATAGGCAAATTTACACAGGAGAAAAGCTGGGGTGTTAATCATTTTCACATCATGAAATACGACTGGCACTTCTTTACTGCATAAAATAAATGTTACAAGACTTACAAAATATAAAGAAGATGGAAGACGCATGTAGAAAGAAGCATGCAGAGCCTAGTAATATATGAAATATGTACATTTAAGGTTTATTCATGGGCTTATTGTGCAAAGGCATCTATAACTTATTTGATCTTTAACACCACTGGTGAGGCACCGTAAGATACCCTGTAAAGCTCCCAAAGACACTATTTGTGATGGGGTGTAATATGTTATAAGCCTGAGTGTTACATGACTGCTTAACCATGCGATCATTATTCCTACTCCTACTTCCTACTTACCTGAAAAAGAGCAATAACTCCTCAGCATGCATCCTAAACCCTGCGTTTCCAAGCGAACACACTGCTGCCATGATCGCAGGAAATTCACACGACAATAGCCGACTGTCACCAAAGTTAGCTGAATATACACACTAATCCTTTACCAGCACCCTGATCTCTGCATCATCAATGAAATTTATATCTCGGTGAATTAATGAGTAAATGATTCAGATTATGCAATCATCAAAAAATTACCAAAAACACTTTTCCCCCCCCACAAACCTCTTTTAAATGCATATACTGTGCAGATATAATACGTACAGGGACTATTTCTTATATGAGTTCTGCTAAATAACTATCAAGGACGACTCAAATGAGATACTTCCGCATCAGGCCCAGGAATACACAGGCAGGGCATGACATGTTACTTCCGTCTTTGCTTTGCATTAACTCTGTCTTTTTGTGTTGCCTTACTTGTAGGATTGCAAATACAGCACAGGCCACCAGCAGGTAAATCCTGGCAACTCTCAAGAAAGCCAAAGCCAGACTACTCTAGAATATTCCATGAGCAAAGATGTATTAAGCATATAAGATATGAGGCTGATGATGGGGGGTCAAATATAAAATACAGTAAAAGTATGCAACCAGGCGTGGGTGAGGCTCAGTAAAATGAAGCCAAAATATTGTAAGTCATAAAAAAGTTTATAGACCAAATACCTGAAATACTATGTATGCAACAAGCTAATCATCCATCCATGTTCCAACCACTTAGTCTGGTCAGGATTTAATGCAGGGGAGGGCAGGTTCTACTGAAGCAGTATCAGAATGTCTCCACTTCTAAGCACTAATGTATGTCGCTCTGGCTAAGGGCGTCTGCCAAATACAGTAAACGTAAATGCAATCTTATCCAGAAAGGAGTGCTGTGTATGCCGGTTCAAGCCCAGCCTACGGGTGGCTGCCCTTCGCGGACAACTTGCTCTACAAAGAGCAAGTTGAGGGAGGCGTAAAAAGAATTTCCCCACGGGGATTAATAAATGTAAATTAAATTAATTAATTAATTAGGTTACTAATTAGAGGACTGATTGGCTGGAGAGTCCTCACACATGGGTTTGAACAGCTGACCTAACGGTTATCCCAAAAGCCTGCATACACACTGGCCCTTTGCGGATAAGACTGGCCACTCCCTGGTTTAAGGTGTAACAAGCCGATCTCTACAAAACAAATACATTCTCATTAAATCATCTGATTGAACAATTTTAAAAGCCAATCATGGTGAAACCACAAAAACCAAACAGGAACACAGTTGACACAGAGGTATAATACAACCGACACTGCTTGAAAGATGTTTTCCCACAATACTGTTCAGCGAGTAAGCTGGCATATAACCTGCAGCAGTTACACCACGAAAGATGGTACAGAAAACACTGCACGGTGCTCATCGAGATCCTTTACATGCGCTAGATCCCTGCCAGCTCATCAGAGCCGAGACATGAGATATTCATGAAGCAGGCTGTCACACCGGGACAAGCCTGCCAGTGTCATTCTTACTAAAACTTATGCGTGAAACCTTGCTGTTTTTATATCTCTTGACATTTTGGCATTTATTTATTTTTCCTTTCACATTTCTCGATTTAAGTCCCAATTTTGATATTACAAGGAGATCATTTTAAAAACTTAGATTTATGCAAATTCTGGTGGATTCTATGGAGTTTCAGCCTCCAGCATGTACTGACCTGAAGCCTGGACATCTCTCCCTTCACCAAAATATCCCGATGTGTGGGAAATGGCACCATATTAAAAGGCAGGTGTACAGGAAAAGCAATAGTACGATGTTCCAGACTAACCATTTACCCAGAGTCGAAACCACTGCTTACACAAACACATCCATGCTCTTCATCACAAACTGTATATCAGGAAATTTCAGGGAGCCGAAAACAGTCAACTGGGACAACTGGGACAGCGCTTCCCAACCTGGTTCTCGGAAACACAGACTGTCCATGTTTTCGTTCGCTCCCAACTCCCTGTCAGACAGTCCACATTTTTGGAGGAAGCAAAAACGCAGACTGCCTGCGGGTCCGCAAGGACCGGATCGGGAAACACAGAACTAGGATAATACTGGAATAGCAGAACGGCTGCAAAGACATTCCACTGCTTTGGAATCGAGGCTTAAGGGAAAACCGCATCATTAAAATCCTAAGTGCCAACACACACATGGCAAGCATACAAAGAGAAAATGCTCTTAACTCCATTTAAAATTAAAGGGGAATAATTTTACATTGGAGTAACATTTTTTGTAGCCAGATGACAGTTTGATAACAGCGGGTTATTCTTTCTTATACAGATTAGCCCAAAAACTGGATCACAATTCCACAGAAGGACGCCCAGCATTGCAACGGTCCTTTATAAACTTTTGAGGCATATAAATGACAAAACAGAGCAACAAATTATACACAAAAGATAAAAGATCAGTCCATCTTCAATATCAAAACCAACAGATTTATCTTGACGTAATTTTCTTGCTCCAACCATAAATTAGTCTATGGAATTTAGTTAGTTCACCCATGTATTCACAACTAAAATAATTATGCAGTGATAAAGAATGAGAATTGTAAATACAATGGCAGATAATATCTGAAATTGGGATCTCTCATATTTAATCCTGCCTACAATCAGTATTTTAATGTCAATATTTACACCTATTTCAGTCATGTGATACAACCCACACATATGATAATGGTATCCTAAGTGTAGTACACACACAGTTTTAAAAATAACTTATCACTCATAGTGAAAAATTCACTATACATCTATATTATTACGTTAAAAACAGCTAAACAGCTGGTTTCCAATTTAGTTTAATTGACCCAGGAACATCTAAAATTCAGATTTCCTATAGTAGTCCTTGGCTTAAAGGTTGTGACTACACAATACTAATATCGAAGTTATTTCTGAGACCAGAAGAGATAGTAAATGTTGCGCGGGGGGGGGGGGGCGGGGGACAGTCACAGGCAACATGTCACAGCTGCTTCATTCCCCAATTTGAGAAATCACCATCAATATTCATACGTGGTCAACGCAGCGTCAAAGTGACAAGGCTTTGCAGGAAAAGCCAGCATGAGGGCAAACACTCTCACCTTGTTTGCCTGGATGAGGTGGAAATTCTTCCCATGGACTCGATATCCATGTTCGAAGTTTCGGCATTCCTCCTCGCTCCAGGCACAAAGTTCCTCTGTGAAGAAAAAAAAAACAGGCACTATTAGGCAAGGAGGGATCCAAAGGGAGGCAGGTGTTAGTGAACATGCACTGTGATGTGGCTGGATCAATGAAACAACACTAATGCCTCAGGCTGACATCTCTGGTGGCTTTTGCTGAACAAGTGAGGTTTGCCACAGAAGACCGAGGAGATTAAAATATGACACACATATTCATGTGCCCAGTGCAATCAATGTGAAGGGGGCAACAGGTAGTGCTTTAGCAAAGGACACTGGTTCTTAAGCTTAAAGCTGCCTGGTTAAATCCCAGGAGAATCCCCAGTAAATCATAGCAGCGTAAAGCAGTGTTTCTCAAAGTCCTTGGAGACCCAGAGACGGTCCACCTTTTTGCTCTCCCAATACCCTGGGAGTTGGGAGGGAGCAAAAATGTGCACTGTCTCGGGGTCCCGGAGGATTGGTTTGAAAAATACTGGCGTAAAGGGGCAGGAACTACTTAAACTGAAGAAATTGAGCCTTTTTTCATGAGTCTGTGACCAAGAAGTACTAGACATCCTGGGTCAATTAAACACCCTGCATGCATTTTGGTGGAAAAAACAGTTCATAGCAATTAAACTCCAGTTACACAAAAAAGCACAGGCTGACACCAAGAGAAGAGAAGGTTCAGTCTGACTTACCACTGAACACTTTGACATTAAAGTGCAGTCGTCTGAGGGCTTCCTCTGCATTGAAATTGCATTTCACCAGCTCATAAAGAGCCTGCAAGGTAGGAAGCACCCATCAGTGAAGAGACACTGGAAAGAACCTTCTATATAATGTTCCTCCAGTACAGCAGAGTTTCCCAGTCCGGCCCTTGGGGACCCATGGACAGTCCACATTTTTGGGGAAGGACGAAAAATGCGGACTGTCTGACAGGGAGCTCGGAGGGAGCAAAAACATGCACCAACTGTGGGTCCCTGAGGACTGGTTTAGGAAACATTGCAGTAGAGGCTTGTGCTATACCTGGAGTCTAACCAGAAAGGCATAGAAGCAGTGACCTTACAGGATGTCCATGTTGAAACCAAAACTGCATCCATGCTTTACACTAAGTGACTGCATGGTTTTGGTCTTATGGACAAGTGAGCATGAATTCTGCATGGGTGGTTGCTACTGTCAAGCATGCAAGAGACTGATTCAAAGCCTGGGGTTGCTTTGCTGGTGACTGAGGTGTTGACCTTTTATCAGATCTCAAGTAAAATGGCTATATCACAGCACATTTCAAAAGCATGCCAATCCATCAGGATTATGACTGAATGGGCAGCACTTCACTCATCAACAAGATAACAACCCAAATCACATCAAAATTGCACAAGATGTATTTGGCAAAGAAAGACAATGAAGGACAACTCAAGCTAAAGAATGTGTGTAATGAATAGAAGAATTAAAGCAAACCCACAAGAACACAACACTCTGTGCAGAATTATTAGGCAAGTACTATTCCTGGAGATAATTTTTAGCAAAACTTAGATATAAAAGTGAATTCAGAAGTTTTCTTTTGCTCCAAAGAAATTTTTTTAGAGAGAGAATGTTAGTCTGTCACAAACAAAATACAAGATACACACTTATCAACATGCATGGTTATTAGGAAATCAGAAACTAAGTGGATTTTATTTCACCATCAACAGAAACAATAAAAAGGTTTCAGTTATTCAGTCTATATAAGGAATAACAAACTATCAGCCAGTCTATACAGTCTACTTTACCAAGTTTATTTTCTGATATAGCCACCTTTCTTTTCAATGACCATCTTGAGCCTGTTATTCATTGAACCAGTCAAGTCTTTTGACTTGAACACATCCTACATAAGCAGAGGCAGCTGGAACCCCCCTCCCAGAAGCAGCTCTAAGTGTACTGCTTGCCACCTTGGTAAATCTCATGCTTTAGTAAGGCCCAGCAATTCTCAATGGGAGTTAAGTCAGGCAATGAATGAGACCAGTTCTTAATTTGATCAATGTTCAAGCCTTTCTTGGCCAACCTATGGAATACTTCAACGAATGCCAAAGAGCAGCAAAATTGCAGCACAGACCATCATTCCTCCACTCACTGTGGACAGCACAGTGAGAGCAGCACGTCACCTGCTCGTTGTCCTTGATAATGTCCCCTGATGTGGGGGTCTCTGTCGCTCCCTCTTGGCCCCCTTGCCTCTGGGCCTGCAACAGGAAGTCCTCCACAGCCGCAACTGGCAGCATCCCCGGGGCCCACAGCAGCTGGTCCTCATTCTCATAGGCTGAGGACAGAGGGAGGGTTGGACAGCAAATTCAGTGCAGGCGAGCATATGGCAAGACTGGTGAAAACATTCCACCAGTTATTTAATATCTGATTAACAGCTGCGAATGAGAAGCAGAAGATGGCTCTTATGATAAATGTATGGTAGGTGGCGTAGTAAAGGCAACACAAAAGAATCTGAAGACTACGAAGAATGTAAAGAGAATAGAGAGCAAGGCCGTTACCTCTTTCCTGGTACAAGCGAGTGTTGAGTGGAGGGATTGTGGCCTGAAATTGCGGGCCAACCATGATATCCTTGAACAATTCAGACAAAACACGCATTTACATCCTGCGATATTATGAATTTTAATACCAGCTTTGATCATCTCCGCCTGGGTGCACCCCTCCCGCTCTCGTTAAAGAACGGCCACCGAGGATGAACTCTGGGCATCTCGGCCGTGCCTCACCTTGCGACCATCGCCGGAGTGAATGGAGGCACCGTCGGAATCTGCCTCTGAGGAACTCTCCTTGTCTTTGTCTCCGAGGGACTGGGCTAAGAAACAACACTTAGTTACTTCTTAGGCAGAAGCATACTGCTACACCTGGGTATCACATCTGTATGACTACAGAAGAAAAAACTACTTCATCTCAGAAGCACAGGGATGGATCAATCATACTCAGAGCAACTCATTTATGTATTTATCCAGATCCCATACGTCAGACCAAAAACTGAAGATCAAGCATAAAACCTCCTCTAACAATACTGCCATGTTCATGTACATGTATTTGTTATAACAGCTACTCCTACAGCAGTATTAAGCAGCACACACTGTTCCCAATGAACAGGAAGTATCACTGTGGGAGTCACGTGTCCTACCACGCAGGTGGCGCCGGAAAATGTCGGAGGCATGGGAGGTGACGGAAGGGGTGAGGTCATCAGCCGATGACTGAGTCTCCTCTTCCTCCTCTCCCGAAAGCAGATCCTTTGCTATCTGATCCTGGAGAGCACAACTCACCATGAATCAAAATCACCTGACCCATAGTCATTCCTACTCAATTAGCTGCGCAGGCCAAAAATTTTGAATTATGGTGGTAAATTTAGATGCTGAATGTCTTAGAAGCAACTGACACAACTGAAATAGATATCACCATCATCTACTTCCTTAACTCACTGATCAAAACATATTTTAATTACCTATCTTCCCTGACCATCACAGTACCATACTTGGTAATCCATACAACTCCCTGGCCAAACTCCTTAAAGGAGATCCTCCAGCACAATCCCAGCCAAGCAGAACTGAACACCACTGCGAGCCAGCAACCTATATGGGTCTGACAGGTCTCAGTGTTTCCGGTGTACTTCAATCACCTGTCTGCAGAATATTGCCAAACGCCATGAGTAGGCATCAGTCAATGTCACCTAAACAATATTCATAATCAAGGCACGGTTCAAATTCAAAAGTCAAATCATTCTCAGACACAGGAAGAAATTTAAGGACTATGATCAACCAGCAGCAGTGGTTACTTGCTGTTAAATCAATGATTCAAAAGAACAGCATCATATTCTGTGAGACAAATCAAACTAAACCTAATAAAAGTAACTAAGGGCATGCAACAAATGCACAATTACTTGCAAACTGGGGTCTATTGTCATTTGTCTCATTCAAAATGCAACATTTTATTTTTGGCCTGCAATTAAACACTGTCTGAAAGGCTTATTCTGCAGACAGCTGAGGACCTGGTCCATTTAATGCTCCCACCTTCCTCCAGAAGACAGCTTATGTGGTCCCACTGTTGAACTCTCACTCACAACTGGTAGTTGACACCAGAACCAAACCAGCATCTCCAGGATTTTTTTAAGAGCCTTTATCTGCATAAACACTTGGGAGCTCTCTCTTAATTACAACTCTTTCCCAGTGTCTGTGGAGTTACACGTAATGGTTTTCATTCAAGACAATACAGATTACAAGGTTCATTGTATTTCACGACTAACTGGGAATTTTTGTACCAATAAGCTAGCAAAACTGTCGGTATTTCAAAGCTCACGGCTAAAGTGACAAAGCGTGGATGACTCCATGATTGTTGGATATCTTTTCATCCGCGCTTATCCAATTAAGGTGGCGGTGATCTGAGGGATACCCTGAAGCGCAGGGTATGAGATGGGATTCACTATGAATGGGACACTGATTAAGGCGTGGTGCCCTGGGGGCGCCCTCACGTGACATCACCAACACAGAAGCAGCTCATTTTGGGGGCACGGGAGGAATGTTATGAGAGTGCATTCAGACCTTGTCCAGTGTCATGTCGGGCAGGGTGGCCGTCAGCTCATTGGGCTCCCTGTCGTGCTCTAAAACGGGCTCTGACACCTCGTACCCATACAGAGAAAGCAACTCTTCCAGAGGCATCTCGCCACCCTACACATGGAAGGAACATGGATAAAACCTGAACAGAAACCATTAACTACAAATAGAAATTTACCATAGGTATCACTGCTTTCAGACCTTTAAACCAGCAAACATAATTACCCAATATTTTAGTGTATCAGGAAAAAAAAAAATCAACAGAAGGGGTCCACAAAGTGTGCACCCATGAGTGTCGACGACTGAGTCCAAATTCAGGGGTGGCATCCTTCTAAGGCTGCATTCGAAGACCGAATACGTCACAGCGACGCGACAAGGCTGTCCCGTTTGGAAAGGTCCCCCTTTTGCTGAGTCGCAAAAGATCACAGCGCACAGGTAGGGTGACCAGATAATCCATGTCAGGGAGGACACTCTGAGCTAGGACAGGAATTGTAAATTACCATTTCAATTAAGCGGGCCTGGATTTCACTTGAGCACTCAGCTCTTGCTGTGTGCTGATTGTCAGTCTCCTATAATCATGCATGTGTCACTAATGCTAATGTGAAACAGCTGGATGAGTCTTTCAGTCAAGGAAACAAACCAGTCAAAGCACAAGAAGAGCTGAACTATTTAGCCGAGCACAGGAGCCTTTCAGTTTGAAGGTAGTTTGTAAAACCTGAAGTAGCTCAAAGTGTCCTCCCTGACATGGATTATCTGGTCACCCTACGCACAGGTAAAGTGGTTGTGTCCTGGCCAGATGATAGGAGCGGCGCTTCGTGACTCAAGGGTAATGGTGGGAACAGCTGGCGACAGCCAGACCGTCCCATTTGACAACGCTTTCTGTTCAACCTTCTAAGAACACAGTCTATAAAGTCTACGCCTTCTTACAACGTATCCTTTTAAGGATGCAGCCCCTGAATTCAGACACAGCCAATATGTCTATTATACTACTACACACAAACCCAGAGGTGTAGTGATGAGTATTCGCAGGTATATGGTATATACCCCGCTCAAAAAAATTGATTTATCCTAAACCCACCTAAAAATGGACAGAAATGCATATAAATCAGAGAAATGCATACACACAATTATATTGTATAACAGTATACCCACCTACCAAGACACCACTACACCACTGCATAAACCTGTTGACCAGACACAACACAAAGTCATTACAAAAATCTTCCTTCAATTCCAGTAGTTCGGGTTCCCAGACAAAATGCTTTGCTCTCTGGAACTCAGGCCTCTTTAGTGGCCATACCTGCTTGGCCTCCAGTGTCTTTTCCAAGTCCTCTAGGGACTTGCCCCTGTCGGGAGACTGCTCATCTCGTGCTTCATGGCTGTGGCTGAGGACCTCCACTAAACTGAGTGTGTGTTCTCCAGAGCCCATTGAACCGGCTAGAACAGACAGAGATGAAGAATGAGGCCCGCACATCGTTTAAGGACTGATCCCTTCCTGTTTATTGCCTGCCTGGCTATTTCCCTTTTGACTCTCTTAAGACAGAGGTTAGGTTAAGTGAAACTTTTCATATTATAAAAGATAAAACCACATGATTATCCCCACCATTTATTTGTTTAGCAGTGGACTTTTGTAGCTTGGGTTGTTAAGCCTTTACCTGCTGATACTGCTGCATACACAATGATCAAATATTCACCGAAATTAAAGGCTGCCCCTGCATATCAGCAGTCGGATGGTACTGATGGCCAAGAGAGCCCACTCATATTTTGATCAATCACAATTTATTCTACGATTTTCTAATATCAGGCCACCATAATGTCCACAGTCATAATGTCAGCAGTTTATTTTGGGCAGAATACAAAACCCGCATTGCGGACAAACAAAATTCAAATGAGTTTATCGTTTTGGTTACAAATTGCCATTTTCCACTTTCGCATGGAAAATGTATTCCACAGAAATTCTTACATATCACAAGAAAAGTCTTTCCATTAAAAATTATTAGAGATGTTACACTAGTTCCATACTTTTAATTTGGCGGATTGCAAATGATTAAATCATGACTAAAAAAAAAAAAAAAAAAAAAAAAAATAATAAGAGCCTGGAGCAATGTGTCCGCGTTGGGGGGGGGGGGGGGGGAGGTGGAAAAGCTATTCAAAAGGAATTCACCAGTGGGAAATGAGCTTAACAAACATGTTGATAACTAAGTCTCAAAAGTTTTACACTAGTCCTTAAATTTACACATCAGTCGTCTTGGAAGAATGTGACAAGGCCCAAGTAACATTTCCAAAATAAGTTAAAGGGCAAAAATACAATTCAGAGTTAAAACTACCGGGATAGTAACACCGGAGTTCAAGGTTCAATTGGAAGGATTCTACAGACGTATAATATACAACACTGTAAAGTTATTTCAAAAACATAACGTACTATTCCGGGCTCAATCAAAAACAAACTAATACCTACTTAATTCATTTCAAACTTAAAAGTTAACACGCACTTAAGACTGTAAATTTGTTTCCATAGATAAAAGACTGGTACAGAAGAGCGAAACGCTACCGCAGACAGTTCAAAGGTAGATTTCTCTTGACTACAATGGTAAACTAGCACAATACACCCACTAAAGATATTAAGTTTAAATGCTTATTAAATGTCATCCTGCCCGAAGTCACGCTAAGCGCTCGCCGACGTGCAAGCGAGCACACTTCAGGAGCCCAAAAGCAAAGTGCGTTTTCGGACACGACGCGGGACTCAACCTGATTTCAACCAGATAACTAGGAAACTCGACCCTCCCGGCAACGGGCGGCGTTAACCAAGTCGCTTTCCTAAAAGCCCGGGTGCTGAACGTTTCTTTCTCTTTTTTAAGATGTCATTGCCGTGAAGGAACCGGTTGTGAATGACGACGCCTCTGGCTGAAACGTCACCTAGAGCCAGACGCCGAAGACGCCTCGGCTCGAGACGGATGCCCAGCGCAGGAACTTCACCGGCCGCGCGGCCGGCACGCGGTGCCTATCGCGCGCACCTGGGACAGTGCCGGGCGCCGCCGCGCGCAAGCCGCTCTCCCGTTGTTTTCTATAGCGCACTATCTGGCAGTCAGGGGATGGTTCTTTAACTCTGGGGCGGGAAGGGAGGGGGGGAATGCAAAGAGACTAGAGACGGGGGAATATATCAGGGCGAATAGCCCATCTTTTACTCCTGCAGATAGCGAGCCCCGACTCCACACACCCCTCTGAAGACAGCTGATACGAAAGACAAAAATGTAATCGACGCCCCGGCACGACTCGAACTGTTGAACGTAGCGCTGTTTTAAAAACAATTCAGCAATAATATCCTCCCCAACCTTTTCGTTTACTCACCTCCGCCATTCCGTTTCTGCGCAGGCTTATTCAATGCCCGGATGTTGAAGAGGTCTGCTCCGCGAGCCGCCTGGTTTATTGGTGCAACGTTACAAGTAATGATGCTGCTTGAAGTAACACATACAGTAAACAGTACGGCGTGCACTGTATGTGAATGGGGAAAAGTGGCAGTTTCACGCGCAGAAATATCTTTGACAACAATACAAGAAAATAACTTAAGTTTCTCTAATTACGAAAGTAAACTTTGTTTCAGTTCGGAGCTGACGTGTGGTTAGTGGGACTAATTCTGTTTTTAAATTGGTATTTACTATAGACCAATTAATTTAATATTAACAGAATGAATCTGGGGAATGTTTTTCTTTCTGTAATATCTTAGTAATAACTAAAAAAAAGTTCTTCGGAAGCTCTCACGTTATTTTCCCCGAAAAAATAATGTAGTCCGGCAAATTTCTTGCAGAATATAAATGTACTACAGAAATAGTTGGTTAATATGGTAAAATAAGTTTTATATGGTTAAAACGTAAGTCCCCCGCAATATTCACTCATCTCAGCTAGTTCTCCAGCCATTGAACTACATCTATGACTTCATGTACGATCTCTTAGTTGGTCTTTTGCATATCCTGGACGTTCTTTTTTGCTGTTGTTTTTCATTTGAATATGTCTTATTATGTTCTTTATGAGGTATAGATTTTGCTCCAATGCGAACTTACACCTATTACTGGTCGTTCACGGGAACCTCAGCTTAGTTGCACTTATGCCTAATTGGTTCCTTGATAACTATGCTCGTAATACAGGCTACTGCTGCCAAACTACGTCGCTTTGGATTCATTTACCGTCAAGTAAGTAAACGCACTTGTAAATGAGTGCAGGTTAGCGTGAGGTTCAGTGCCTAATCATTGTAATTAATATTTGCAGGATCCAACAAGTGAAACAGTGAAATTCATATTTCACTGCATCTCTCTGTCTCTGCAACTGGGCATTAAAACTAGTGCTTCCTCCTCGTCCAGCATCTGCTTCCCCTCGTCCTGCCCTTTGCACTGGGAAGCAAAGCTTTGGGTCACAGTCATGGAGTCAAGATGAGAAGAGAGTAAAAATGAATACATGTAATGGAGGGTGACACATGCCAGTGCAAGTGGACGTGGGGGAAAGGCGTTTCTGTAGAAGTGAACTGAAGTACATCTCCTCGCCTCATCTGTCTGTTTAAAACATTAACCGTGTTCCTGTTCACCATTTTGGCCTCAACACAAATGGTTCGGTGTCTGTGTGCTGTTCCAGGTAATCAGTTAGACCACAGCAGTTACCCAGGCTGGAATATATACCCAACCACATCTAGCATATCTGAAATGGTACTGTAATATGAACTATCAGCGTTGTCTGGTGCTCCACTACCCAGGAATGTCCCCACTTTAACCCTACTGGACATGGAAGATCGTAGGAAATATAAGACACCTGAGACACAATAACTGACTGAAGAGCAGACGACCCAAAGGGAAGCAGAGGGGCACGAAACTTCACAGCGTTTTCAGGATGGCGGGAAAACATGTGCACTAGTGGCAAATTAAACTGCATTTTTTTTGTAAGGTCAAGGACCTCAGTTGCACAGCAAACATAATAATGCTTATAAAAATGTACTGTCAGTCTGATAGCAAATCTGTAGCAAATCAGACAAGCAATTTGCATAAAATGTTAGTAGATATATAAGATACATATGGTGTGTATATTCTCCTCTGTAGTAAGGACAAATGGGAAAGGATAGCATGCCTTACAAGCCCAACTTCAAGAATGAACTCCCAACATAGACAAAATAGAGACAATTATAGTGCTACTGGATATGCCACTGATGATACACTGATGAGTATGTTAATGTTGCTGTTTTTAAAACTGTGTGAAGCACTTTGGGAGAATGTGTCTGGAAAAGGTGATGCATGAAAATCAATTCAAGTGGATTGGACTTTATGTTATGGCAGTCGGCCTAATTTAGGCATATAGCTCTTTGTTGATAAATGCATAACAGCAGCAGAGTTGTGTCAATGTTTTATATATATATATATATATATATATATATATATATATATATATATATATATATATATATATAAAATTAAGGTTTGTAATTAAGTATTTAATCTCCAGAAAATGCTTTTGGTTATAAATATTTTTAGTAATTTCAGGGTGTTGTTAATCAAGAAAGTCGAGCAATTCAATTCAGGAAGAATCAGAACTGACAAGGTGAGTCATCGTACGTTTTCATGTTTGTTTTTTTTTCTTTTTTTGCTTTTGGTAGGAATAATTTTCACTGCGGAGCAGAACAAATGAACAAAACTGTCCTTTCATACGTGCATCGCTGTTCCGGAAGAAATAATCATTAACTATTGAGGGATCAAATAAGACAGCATACAAAACAGTGAGAAGCACAAGCTTCACATGAGAACAGAAGCCGTCAAGCAAGGATGAAAGAGAAAGAAAAAGTAGGGTGACGCTAAAGGGAAGTAGGCACAGATGGGAAGACAAAATGGAGAGCACACACAGAAAAAGAGAGAAAGAAATGATTCAGACAATCCTGAGGAGGTCACTTGGCCATCACATCCAGAAGGGGGCGCTCAGGCTGCGGTGTAAGGAAGGCAGGAAGAAACAGGACTGAGGCATCCAAACCCCAAATGAAGTTCAGTTGAAGAGTTACAATATATATAATATTATGTTAGACCTACTATCGTAGCATAAAGGATCAGTCCATTCATCTATCTTTTATACCATTTATCCTATGCAGGGTCACGGGAGCCGGAACTTATCTCAAAAACAATAGGTGCAAGGCCGGGAATTATGGTGTTTTCCATTTGAACTGTGAAGCTGGAATTTACAAGTTCTTAGTTGGAAATTTTAATTGAAACGACCCCTGAAGTCAGAGTTACGACTTGGACAGTCAGAGGTACCTCTACAATCCTGACCACAGAATTCAAGATGGCCGTGTCCTTCATCAACAGAAGTGAATGCTACAGTTAGGTACTCTTTATTATCACATTTCTAGTGAGCCTGGCTAGAACTGGTATTGCTAAAAGGCTTTTCCGACTTCTTGTACTGGAACATGGTTAACTCGGGTGTGACATCATTCCCAGCTCCGACTTTCGACCTCAGAGGTAAATGGAACGCAGCATAACCCAGGACGGGGTGCCAACCCATTGCAGGGCATACATGCCATTCACAAGCAGGAAACCCCAAAACAGTATGGGAAGAACGTGCAAAATCCACACACACAGAGTGGGAAATCGAACCCTGGTCTCTAAATGGCCGAGGTGTCCATGCTAACCAAAGTACCATCACAGGGTTAGAATTTACTTGAATTTATTTTCACGCATAAGCTTTCTCCCGAAGCGCTTCACAAAGTTTTAACAAGAGCAACAAAAACATACTCAAGGTCTATATTTTATCGTTATTGTTGGTTACCTCATGAAGCTGGGCATAATTAACATGGTCAGAGACCCCAGGGGTGATTGGGGGGGGGGGGGGGGGGGGGGCAGTGCCCCCCTCTGTCCCCCCAAATACATATGTTACTTGAGTCTGAAATAAATGTAGCATTATTATTACTATTATTATTTGCATTTATATATGTGGCCTAAAATTTTGTGTGCTGGGAACAGGCAAATCACAAACATAAGCACATTTTCTTGACGGACTCTTGAGATGGGGTGGGCCGGGTGGTCTTGTCGCTTCACTTGGTGAAAAGTTAACAACAGAAAGAAATAATCAAGCTTGTGGAAGCAAGACAGTTGAAACAAGAAATTGGAGTGAGTTACGTCTTTGTAAAAACTGTAAAATGTAACTGCAAAGCACTGCATAAATAACACTGGTTTTCAGAATTGTATTTTGCCTCTTAATGCTGGCAATCTAGTGCAAGTAACACTTAGAGGACATTAAAGTCAAAGGCATCTGGCCCCAGTC